ACTTGACTTCGTTCAAGACCACGTGTTCCTCGCCTAGCAATCTTTGCATCTTTCTCAGTTTCAAAAGGCGCTTTCGCACTGACGTTTGTTGTTTTTATTTGACTGCATCCACAGTTCCAACTAATCTCGCTTTCCTCTTTTGCGGAGAACTTTTGCAAAAATCTCTTTCGAAAGTGTTAGTTTGAGACTCTCCTTTTTCAAACTTTCTTTCCTATTTTTTACGCTCCCTCTAGACCTCCTACTATGTCACTGCCGACATGAGTATTCAGACCATGATCGCTCGCAGTGGTGAGGTGGCCAACTTCTGTGATCAATTTGATGTAAGCAGCAATTGTCTGAACTAACACGGAACTCACTCTTCACCAGTTCGCAACAACGTGACTGCAGTGCGTGTACAGTCAATATCGTTAGGTAGTCTCTCTTTGCGCCTATTCTTTACACCCATGATTCGTCCATTGTCCCTGCCCACAACGGAAATACATTTCATGGGTGATACTACAACGATGACGCGTTTCGTGTCTTCTCCTTTGCAAAAAATCTTGGCCTTCCTTCGAAATCTTTCACCTTGACTTGGTTTGTTACCGGAATGTTTCTCGTGGAAATTGGATCATCCGGCGCTTAGCGAGGTCAGCAACTCACGAAATTTTCAACAAGCGAACTCAAAATCCTAGTTAGAGCCGTTTCCTTGAGCGACGTCGTTCATCCCTGGCCTAAATTCTGTGGCCAGTATGCGAGAGTAGACCTGAAACGCTAGCCGCAGAACCCAGGCGAGAGTTTGACACACCACCTTGGTATGCCCAAGCGTTGCCACTGGTACTCTTCCAGCTCCCAACATTTTATTGCGACGAGGTTCCTTGTCATGAATCAAAATCGTGTCCTTCAGAATGCGCAGGTGATGCACGCCTCGGTCCACATCCCGAACACGTGCCTATTCAAGCTCAAGCACCCCATATTCCTCTCAGCGTTTACAAGCACTTGTCCGCAGGGACACACCTACATCCCTAGCCAAGAGAATAGACATGCAATCCGCTTCTTTGATGGGGTGTTTACACGGAGTAAACTTCGGAAACACATCGTAAAGTAAAGCTGCAGCCTGTGACTGAAGTGTAGTTTGAGGCGGTTCGGCGCAAATTAACAAGAGCAAGAGGTTGATGACATTAGAGTCGCTGTTCTGAGATCCTATTTAGATGTGTCGCGCACTACATGGCAAGGTGCCCGAGGTGGCATCGTGACCCACTATCCTTATATTCCTCATTCTTATTCTTATATTCCTGAATTAATTACAGCGATGAGTGTGTAATTCTTGGCGGCACAGCAGATGCTCATAGTTGGGACTTGACTGTTGATAAAGAAACTGCGCAGCGAATAATGGACTGCAACATAAACAACGTACCTGCTCTCAAGGTACTGTTGTAACCAAAGAAACAGGGAAGGCATTGCTTTTCGTACAAAACTTCTGTTGCTTCAGAAGGCGAAAGTTATGTCTCATCACGTGGGCCTTCGACCGGGCCGCAGCGACGTGCGACTAGAAGCTGAAATCAAAACATCGAACGGGAAGAAGGTTTGTTCCTCAAAACGCGTTGAACCGCGCTCTTGAAAATACTCTCACAGTAGGGAGACTTGAAGTCACTTTGCTCCCTTTCAGGTCCTTATTGTGCATAACTACGGTCATGGCGGCAGTGGAGTGACATTGTTCTGGGGCTGCGCAATGGATGTCGTCAAAATAATCTCTAGATTCTCTGCACCCATTGTAGATTCTAAATTATAAAGATTCCGAGGCGGAGTCACTTGGTTAGGTTCATACTTACAACTCGTAAGAATCCTTGTTCAGGAGTCTAGTGCGTGTTGATGACGACACCCACGCCGCAAACGCTTGTGTTGTCGCAAGTTTCAGACAATGTTAGTTCTCCATTTCCGCGAGCAGAACGCGATCTCTTCTCGCCTTGGTCCATCCGATGACGTCATACTCGATAGTTCCATCTTGGATCATCAGCTCTTCCGTATAAACTTGGAATGCGAACGTCTTCGCTTTGAAAGCAGAAGTCCTCATAAGAGAACCGTAATTCGCAAAGAAGTGAATCAAGAAATAGTTCAAACTTGGATGCCGCTCGGCTGGGGAGGAGAAAGACAGTGTTAATTACCAGGTCCTGCAGTTCAACTTTAGTTAGACCTGTAAACAATAGCGCCTAATTCTGGAATATATACATGCCCCTGTTCCATAAACCTAACGGCCATGAAAATGCGCTCCTATGATGGCTTCATTTGCGAGTTCTTAAGCCACACCCCCACTCTAGCCTTCATGCTAGGATAAAATCACCCAAAATTTCACAACAAACCAACGAATGGGACTTGAAGTGTATTGGAGACAATTGAGAGCTTCTAGGGCCACTGGTTCAAGCTTCAAGCTCGGATAACGATGTAGTCTCTCCCCTAGACACATAGATAACACCTTTGTTTCGCTGAGAAACCTGTAATTTGGAAATGAATTTTCTGGAAAAGCATTATATTAGTCGCTACAAGAGTCAAGTTCTGCTGTTTTCTTCATGGATTGCACATGATCCTAACATCAAGCTTTGCCACCTCATGTAAACGGAAATGTGTAGCCCTTTATTGGGTTGGCCCATGAGTAATGACGTTCTCTCTTACACAATAAGAAGTGTATTCGCTTCCATTGTGTTCTATGCTGTTCGATAGCTAATTTTCCTCCCTATAAGATAGTGTTATCGCATTATATAACATCACATATATATTCCCATTAATACTTGACTTGTTTGGATTTTTTTCCCTTAGGTCTACACAAGTGTAAGTTTTTGACAATTTTCGCACTTAAATTCGGCTCTCAAATTACAGGAGAAACTCCAAATTTGAAATACAAATAACCAAAGAAAAATGCTTCTTACGACGGCTTGAAGCTGGTTTAAGCGATCAAGCTGTGGGAATTCAAACCTTGTAATGTTCACCGCATAATTCTCGAACGTCTATCATCAACTGAGGGTGATGCTTGATTGGATAGGGGAACGTTTCATGATCTCTATCGATTTCCCATCTTCGATATGAATCTTCATGGATAAGGTGATTCGGTATTTTCTC